CATCAGGCATACACTGCGAGCGAGTGAATGCGCCTGCTAGTCAAAGGAAGCACAAGGCGTGAAGTCGGGAGTGCCCTGTGCACCTGAAGTGGGCTAAAGAGGTAGCGAAGAGGACCTTTTATGAGTGAGCTTACCATCCTCCAGCTCAACATGGGGCGCGGGCATACAGTGGCAGACGAACTCCGTGCTCTTTATCCTCTCTACGATGTTATGGCGGTTCAGGAACCTACCTGTCGTGGGAACTTAGTAACGTCTTCGAAGTTGAAGACTCCATGGAAAGAGGTTATTCCCAGGGTTCTGTTCTATGTCCTGCCCTATGGAATTTAGTCTTCAATTAATTGTAGGGAGTACTGGAAGAGGACCGGTTCCCCGCTACGGCTTATGTAGATGATCTGGCCGTTGTGGTAGCCTCGAACAGCAGAGCCCGGCTGAAAGAAGAAGCTGAAAGGTGCGCCAACCTAGTAGAAGAGTAGTGCGAGAAGAAGAAATTCAGGATGGCCGCCGCTAAGACTCAGGCCATCCTCTTGAAAGGCACGACTGATAGGGCTCACCCTATAACAATTGTTATACAAGCATCAAGAATACGCCCCAGTGAGGTTGTCACCTATCTTGGGATTTGGATTGGAAGAAAGTTCAACGTGACACCTCACTTGGATTATTTGAGAAGTAGGGTAGCCCTAACCCTTAACGGACTCAGTCGTATTGGGGGCGCGTTTTGGGGCCTCAGGTACCCAGCAACAATGACCATTTATAAAGGTGTTATATTGAGTGTCCTGAGGTATGCGTCTCCTGCCTGGAGCCAAAATCTCTCGCACAGACAGAAATGTAGGTTGGTCACGATTCAGCGGATGGCTCTGCTTCGAGTATCCAGATCATTCAGGACGGTGTCTCATGAGGCTGTGCAGGTCTTGACAGGAGGAATACCTCTTGACCTCCTGCTGAGAGAAGACTACTACCGGTATAAGATTAGGATAGAATGCTTAGCGGCTCTACCAGATTACCTCCGAGTGAGAATAAGAGATGATCCAAGAAACTGGAAGATCCTCCGGGAGGATACAGTAGAGGACTGAAACCGACGGTGGTTGACGACTCCCAAAGGAGCTACCCTAAGGAAGTACTTCCCCACCGTCAGTTCGCGACTAGAAGCGACTTGGGTCCTCCCGGACTACTGGATTTCACAGATTCTCTCGGGGCATGGGGGTTTCCGAGCTCGTTCAGTATGGTATAAATATCGATCCCCTACGCCCAAGTTGTGGGGTACCGAAGACCGCTGAACATGTACTTACCTGTACGGTCTATGAGTCACTGAGGGCGAAACTGTTGAGAGATACAGGTCTCTTTGTCCTAACAGAGAGAGATCTTCCTCAACTTATGGCCAAAGACAAATATGATCACTTCAAACGTTTTATATACGGATGGAAAGAAGTTGTTCTACCAACCCACTTCTCTTTGGGAAGAAGAAGAGAAGCTGCACCGGGGAGGCCACCAGAATAAGAAGAAAAGAAAACCAGATGCTAGTGAAGAGAAGAGCAAGCTGTGTGCACAGCTCAGAAAAATAATGTAATAGCCAAAAAATGCAGCAGTGGGTTGTTATGTAATAGTAACATCCCACTGCTGCAAATACCCGTATTGCCTTCAGGCAGGGGAGGGTTGAAAATAAAATAAAACTGCGTTATGGAACAGAATTTTCCGATATATATCCCGTTAAAGCCGGTGTTCCCCAACGTAGCGTCTTAGGTCCCATGCTTTACATCCTCTTTACGCTGACATCCCTGTTCATCCCGATACCTTCCTTGCAACATTCGCTGACGACACCGCAATCTTATCATCCAACGCTGATCCCGAAATACCCTCCTCAAATTTGCAAAGGCACCTCTCCTTGGTTGAGCACTGGTGTAATAAATGGTGTATATGTATTAAATGAATCCAAATGCCAACACATTACGTTCACACTCCGACTTAGTTCTTGTCCACTAGTGCACTTTAATTCCATCCAGCTTCCTTTCTCAGACACATTCCGGTATCTCCTAGACTGAAGACTAACATGGAACCCACATACTAGACTCAAAAGACAAGAACTCAACCGACGATGCGGCCAACTATACAGACTACTGAACAGAAAATCTAAACTTTTAATTGAAAACAAATTACTTATCTACAAGACGATCCTGAAACCTATGTGGACATACGGACTTGAACTGTGGGGTACAGCAAAATTTTCTAACATCAAACGAATTCAATCCTTTCAATCTAAAGTCCTTCGAACAATAGTTGATGCTCCATTCTATGTTACCAACAAAACCCTACAGGATGACCTTAATATCCTATTTGTCTTAGAACTTATCCCAAACAATTTTCCACATTTCACCAGAACCGTAATTATCATCCTAATCCCCTTGCACAATCCCTGTTCAGGACCACCCACCACCAATCCCTACAATCCTCCTCGAAGATTGAAGCGGTAGTGGCCCAGAGACCTTTTGTGAATAAGTATACGTTGGAGTTTTGGTTATGGCCAGATTCTCCACTCTATTATACTCGTGTGATTATATCACCACTACTGGTCCTTAATACTAGTAATGCGGCTGATTTAGAGGCGGTGGGATCTTCTAGAGTCCTGCTTTTCCTCTCTCGAGTGGGATGAAAGGCTTGGCTCGGAGATCTTGGGTGAATGATTTCTCATTAATTTATTTATTTTTTTAGATATTGTATAGAAGCGTGTGTGTATGTGAGTAATTGTTTTTATTAGTTTATTTTATATTACATACATTTACTTTTTTTTAGTATTATTGTTTTTTCTGTATTATTTATTGTTGATAGAGCGTGAATGTGCTCTCTGAAAATTATTATAAATGTCCTTATTTGTGACACATTTTAATATCTCTCAATAAAATTTGTTTCCTAAAAAAAAAAAATTATTTGTGCCAACGTTTCAACCCAAACATGAATGCTTTTAAGTACTTAGAGTATTTAAAAGCATTAAGTGCTCGAACCACGCCTTCAAGATGACCCACATGTTTGGGTTGAAACGTTGGTACAAATAAAAAATTATTTTTTTTTTTTTAAAGACTGCGTCCTGAATATTTATTCCCTATAGTACATTGCATGACGTTAAAACAGGCCTTAAGCCATGATATAATTTTTAAAAAAAGTTAATAGAGTTTTAAAATTTAGACAAAGTTGTTGGGTTAGAGAGTATATAATATATAATACAGAATTAAGGAAAAAAGCAGCAAACGAGTTCGAAAGAGATTAAATAAAATTATATATAAATGCTATATTTGGGAAACATAAGAAAAATAATTGAGATCAACTTAGTATCAAACGCCAACACTTTGGAAAAATTAATAAAAAAAAAAAAACAAATTTTAAAGATAGGACAATTTTATTGACAATTTAGCAGTTGTCCACATGGAAAAGACTAAACTTAAATTTGACAAACCGATATATGTAGGCATGGCCGTATTAGATTTATAAAAAAATATCACGTACTATCATCATTACGATACGCAAGAACACATATTTGCTATCAGAAATATTGTAGAAAAAGCATGAGACAGAAATCGAAGTATATTTATCGCTTTCTTAGACTTGAAAGCTGCCAGTACTTCGACTCAGTATTTCGATGTGAAATATGGAGAGCACTTAAGAGATAGCATATTCCTGGGACCTTTTGGAAGCGATAAAATCAACATACGAAAGCCCGAAAGTAGTAGTGCGTATAAGTAACCGATAGTCCAAGCCATTTCCGATGGAGCGAGGTGTGAAACAAGCAGACAGCTTGAGTCCATTATTGTTTATCACCTTCATGGACGAAATCCACAAAATATGCAGAAGAACAGCTTGGACGATAGTTCTAGTGCAGGCGTTTCTATATGCAGACGATATTACGCTGGTGACCGAAACTCAAGAAAAACTGCAGCAGGTCATTATAGAATGATAGGAAGATTATGACTGTAGCGAGAGATGATGAGGATGTGGGAGATATTAGAATGGTATGCAAAGGAGAAGAGCTGGATAATGTGGACTACTACACATACCTTGGAACAATTTTAAAGAAATCTGGGAAAATACAACAAGAAGTTTCCAACAGAATAAAGAAAACAAACATTGTATATTACCAGATTCGCAACACGGTAGTGAGAAAGAATGAGGTAGGAAGGAATGTCAAACAATATATTTGAGACAACTAAAAAAGGTATCTGTAATTCGAAATACCATCATATAAAAGTAAATTCTCCTTGGTTAAAAATTAATGGATACAGATTATGTCATATCAATGCATGAAGAACTTCACATACTCACCTTGGGGACAATTACATTCGTTACGTCTTTTTACATTCACATTGAGATATTTCTCCTTATGATTGCGGTAGATTTATTTGAATGCCACCATTCCATTCTTTAAAAACAATACAAAAAATTAATACCATTACTTTTTTTTTCGACCTGAAAAGATATTGGAAAACGAATGTAAAGCCCGGGGGCATCAAATATTATAATGGTTTGCTTCATATTTTGAAGTTTTATACCATGAATGAAACCATTCACTAATATTTTCTAAAGTAATTATTTCCCTACATTTCTACAACTAACACAATATCATCTACTGTCTTCTTTCTTCGTGCCTCTGGTGTCTCCGAGAAGTCCTACAACCCAATCCCAATCCCTCAAACTTTTATGATATAATTTGTTAAATAGCCTTCTTCCTTTTTCCAGCAGCTTGGAGTGATGTTTTTTAGATAAAGCAGACGTTTATTTTAAGGTAGGTATTTTAAGATTAAAACTCATTTCTTATAGAAACGAATTGTGTCCTTTGTTAAGAGACGATCCAAAATTGATTACACCTTATGCTTAAATTTCATAAATTATACCTCAATCCCAGGATGATTCTATTAAGTATGATTGAATTAAGTAGGAATTGACTAATAAACAAACAGTTCGATCACAAAGTTTCATATATTTATTTCATTCTTTTTAATTACAATTTTACGCAGAATTCAAACGACGGGGTCTTTAGGAATTATTTTATCTCCAATGAAGCCGTGATAATCCTCCATTTCCTCCTTCGTCTGAAATTAAATTAAATATATTAAAAAACAAAACAGAAAATCGAGCTAAATAAATTATTTGAAAAAGGGAGAATTGAAATAAAATATCTGAAAAACATCCAGATCAACGTTAGTAATACATTAAGTTCAATTTATTTGTTGAAGTAGTTTAAAATCTAAACTGGTTTTTAAATGAACGCCCAGTGTCATTTCATTTCAAATAATCCACCCAGAAATGCAGATGAAACTCATGGTCTCAGATTTTTATGATTTTTTTTTCTATTAAATTTATTCTATTTGCCATTTTAACTAATCCTGAACTATATCACTATGACACCTTATATAATTTTTGTTGTATTTATTTTCAAACCATTATGAAATTTGAATTTTTTCATTTCCGATAACCATCCTAAATCCGAAGACATGAACAATGTAATCTTGATGAGATAAAGAAATAAAATAAAATGATCAATGTTGGAAACATTTCGTGGATTTGGTTTGAAAAGGTTCTAACTAACAATATTAAGTAAATTGAGTTTTCACTCACATCATTACCCAAATGCATTTTAGTGACATCAGTTGGAAAATAAAGAATTTAGCAGTGTAACATGGTTCTAACTACACACAACTATTGAAAGTAATTGGTTTGAAAAGGTTCTGACTGCTATAACATGTACTAGTACTTGAACTTGATTTGTGGTTAATTTATATTATTAGTAAATATCAAATATATTGAATCAATTACCTATTTCAGAAACGACATTTGATATTTTCTTAATTTTTAGAAAAATCGCGGAATTCTAAAGTACTCTAAGATTTTAGAATGTTAAATTCTAAATATATATATATAGAGTAAACAAACAAATTTTACATCATTCATGTCAGGTTTTAGAAAATAATATGTCATTAGATGGTCAATAATTGTTTATGGAAATTTTACTCTGCTGTTACTTATGCAAAAAGAACATATTCCACGGATTAAAAAAAACGTCTGCCAAGTAAGATCAGTATAGCTTCCACACAGTTTGCATTGGCTAAAAAATATTTATATTACAATCTATATTTTATAATAAAATCTCTGGAAGAAGCCATTTCCAGAAATTCAATAATCCCTCAACATATACAGGTTTGATATCCACGAGTTTTGTTCATCAGAGAATAGTAAAATCCGAAAAAGATATAAATATATTGTATATTTGATTCGGGATTTAATGAGACAAATACTTTTATTACTCATACTTTTCAGTCAGAACAAAACTATTTAAGCTGGAATTTAAAAATACATATAAAAATCACTCATAAAATCGGTACCACGTCGATCTGGGTGAACTTCAATATAAATAAACACGATCACAAATAAGATTTTTCTTTTTTAAAAACATTAGAGTAATTAAATTAATTGAAAATTACATAAAATATAGGTAACGACAGTAAGTATCATGAGAATCATAGCAGTAACGTTTGGAATCAATGAAACAATACAGTTTAAATTAACTCTTTGAATACAATTTTATAACCCCATAAAAATATCATGTTAACCTAACTTCCACTCCATATCATCAGTGCCTTTCACATTTCACTGCCATTATATTGTTAACAATTATTTATGTTAATCTTAATTATAAACTAGATAATTAGATATGCCCGTCACATCGATTTGACTACAGAGAGACAGACAGATAGACAAAGAACCAAATTTTGATCTTTGATGTCTGAAATGTAGAACGCGAGTGGAAATTTCCCAATGATTCCCTACCTTCGGTAATAATAATTTAATCAGTCGATTTGTTAAGTTTAATTATTCAGTTTTCATTGGTAGTATAATTACGTCATCACCGAATGAAAATATAATTTCAATGCTTCAAGGCATTGTACAAACAATCTTTGTTTCTCAAAATTATAGTGAATGCAAAATTATAACCTTTTCAAACCAAGGCCACGGTCATAAAGACCATTAATCATTAATTTGATATGTTATCAAAATGCCTAAAGATGCACCTTCCATTTGATTTATATGATTTTCCCCGAAGAATTTCACCAATATAAGGAAATTGAAGTAGCCAATGGATCCAATGTCATTTTGATAGTGCGGTTGTTCGAAGTTCACACTCGACTAACCCTGAATAAATCCCACCACGCAGTTCAGAAATATCATGCGATATTCCAATTGCGCTAAAATTATGTTTGATGCTCAAACCAGGTCTGGTCTACTGAATTTATGGGACCATTAAATTCAATAAGATATGATGTTATATTCAAATTATTCGATAAAATCTAGACTTTAACTATCTCTTTTTTTTTTTTATTTATTCAAAAATATTACAATCTGTCACAATTTATAATAGTGTTCAGAGAAATTGGAAATACTCATCTTTCATCTCATTATCTATACCTTGAGTTGGTGCATAGGTTACATAAATGATAGTGGTATCAAACCTTCGACTTCGGAGTTCATTTCGTATTTCACTAATTCTTACGTAAATCGGAGTAGTATAATTCGTTTTATGATTCGTTTCTTTAATGTTGGATTTTCTGTAAATCGTTTCTGTTTAATGTGTGGGCGTGGTAGGATCTTCCCCATGTTAGCCATCTTGGCCATCTTAGCTCTTGGATGGCTGTTAATGTTGTACAGTATGTTTTAACTTTTTAGTTAGCTTAATAGTGCTTTACAAACTATATATAGAGACATAGACATACCATGTCCGCGAATTTGTTAACTGCCAGTTTGAAGGATTTTAAACCTTCATCATATAACCTGTTGTGTTCCTCTACCAATGCCTTGTTATGAAGGAAGATCAGCTTACGCATTTCGTCTATAGCTGGATTTGGATAGTTTTTATTAAATTTTGCCTGAAAAAATAATACATATTCTATGAAATAAATCAATATTTATGGACAATAGCATGTTTATATATTTTTTAATCATGATGGCTAGAACTGTTTCTAACACGAGTAAGCAAAAAAGAGATTGCTTACCAAATATGGGCCTTAGATATATAAAACAACACCAATTTTGAAATTAAATGTTATTATCTTTTTTTATTGTTAGAATAAGTTTAAAGGTGGGTTTTGGGTAGATTAATTTCTATGGAATTGAAATATGAAGACACGATGTCATTCAAAGTTAAGTTTATTACAATACTAGAAAATTTGAAAATACAACTAATGAATGCCATTAAAATTTTATATATATTTTTTCTTTAATTTCAAGTTTTTTTTTAAACCCAATAAAATATTAATTTTTTTTTTTTTATTAGGGGACATAATAGTTATAGCTAAACCAAACTATAAATAACAGTTTATTTTTCTATGAAGGAACATAACGCTGCAAATTGGTTTGAAACCAGCGAAGTTTTTCAAGGTCAAATAATACACATCAACTATATTTTAAGATCTAAGAGTAGTTGAATAATATTTCACAAATGTTTAAGCGTGGATCAAAATAGGATTTCCAGAATTTGTAATAACTTATATAAATAAAAAGTCCATTTTTACGACACTAATTTTATATAATGTTAATAAATAAGGAAATATATATTATGTTCTCTGATCATTTTTTTTTTTTGTCTTTATTATCTGTAGGGATGAGATAAAAAGTTCAGAATAATTTATTTTCGATAAAAATTACATTATATTCAATATATAAGTTATCTAACAGATTCTGGAATTTAAGTACTTGGACCATGGTGTTACTAGAATCAAAGTGTTCTTGTGTTCTAATGATAATTGCTAAAACCGACTGCTAGAAATTGGTTTTGATAATTAACTAGCCAATGGAGTCAAAGTAAGTTCTTTAAAATTTGAAAAATAAAAATTCAAATTCCTACTTAGATATAATAAATTAATACTTTCTTTCTTTGTATGTTTTTATTCAGTTTTTTGTTTCTTTAATTAACATTCATTTTTTTCTCAGAAGAAAGTGATTAAATGATATTAGATTTAATCACTTCCTTCTGAGAAAAATGAATGTTAATTAAAGAAACAAAAAAAAAATAATAATAATAAAAATGCAAAGAAAGAAATTTAAGAGAGATTCATAGATTTTTTTTGGTTCATTTTTGATACTGATAAGTTGAAAGAACTGTTTTAGCATAGTAGTATAGAAGTATCATAGAATAGGTACTGTTGGGGTTATAAATATAATGAGGAACCAAAGTAATGCCTGAAAACACTTTATTTATGAACACTTTTTAATATTCAATAATCATCAAACATATCCTTTGCACCATGCTTAAAGCAACAATGAACCAGCCTAACGATGCCAACATGATAAACTAAAATATCGCCCACATCATGTTAAAATATGTAATAAATAAACTGGGTTTATTTCCGACAGATACAAACAATAATGGAAACACTCCATGCTGACTTGTTTAGGTTTGCACTATCATTTATGAAATTTCTGGTTTCAATAACGATTGAAATAACGGATTCAGAATTATATAAAATGATATGGCACTTCCATTTGAAGTTGAAATATTAGTTTTAGAAAATTTGGAAAAATATAAAGAGTGTAACATCTTGTATACGGATGCCTCAAAAGTAGATAAGGAAGTAGGATGCTCCGTTATAAATTCTAATATTCAAACTTCCAGAGGCTTCTTCAGTTTTTACTGGTGAAATGCTAGCAATTAAAGAAGCTCTTAAACACATAGAGACAGGTAAAACTACCAATTGGGCAGTGGTGACAGACTCTATGAGTTCATTACTAGCCATTGAACATACCAGGCCCCCAAAAAATCTTGTAAAATAAATAAGAAACGTTTGATGCCTACTAAGGATCAAGGGCAAAGAAGTAGTGTTCATTTGGGTCCTTTCGTATTGCGGGATCACCGGCAATGAACAAGCCGATCAAGCAGCCAACATGGCAAGAAAGCCAAAAACAACACCCGTGGAATCAATTAATAAAATCCCTCTAGAGGATTACGTTAAAAAAATTAAGGGGAATGTCTGGAGCATGTGGCAAAACAAGTGGGAACAAAAAGAATCGAAACTAGTGAAAATTAAAACCCATGGTTTAAAATGGGAAACCTCTCACCGATCCTCTAGAAAAGAAGAGACAGCCTTCTGCAGATTACGAATTGGACATTGTGAGTTCTCGCACTCCTACCTACTAAGAGGACTGCGATGTCCAAAGGACAGTAAAGCATGTTATACAAGACTGCCCTGTATTTGAAACTACAAGAAAAAAATTGGAAATGGCACAGAGTCTAAAATAAAATCTACAGGACATCGAAAGTGCAGTTAAAAAATCTTTAAGATTCTTGAAAGTGATAAAATTCAATAACAGCGTGTAATTTAAAGCTGTTGCCAATTACCCTACAGGGTAGAGACAACAAAACAACGAATGTATACATAAATAAATCATCTAACACTATTAAAGCAGAGCTTCCATAGATTCATATGAATTTTGAACATCGTCGTAAGGATAATGGATATTTGTAAACGTAGCTGCATAGGCTGTATTATATGCTCAACACTAAGAACAAGAATTCGTGGAATGTATTTGTTATAACATCTATATCCATGTTTCCACTAGGAATACTCAACGAGCAAATCCGGCAAGTAACAGGTATAGATCGGTTTTCGATACTTCTGGGTAGGATTGTTACGATATCGGTATTAGGATAAGTTCCTATATTCCTTATCGATATCGATCTTTCATATCAATATCACTAATATCGAATTATATCCATAACTAAATGAAATATTTGAAGTACTTAACAAATATACCGTTATTAGCAAAAAGGCACGAAGAGACTTTTCATTATTTTAAATAACTAATGAATATCAGTATCAGTTTGATTTATTTTTCTCATAATATATTCCTACTTTTGATGACCTCAAAGACTTCCTTAGACTTATCCTAATTAAAAAGTCAACAAAACGTTAAAATTATATGCTTATGAAATTTAAATTATAGTTTTCAATTCAATCGGACCTTAATTAATTAAGTTAACAATTAGTAGTTTCAGAGATAATTAGGTATACTTTTTTAATTTAAAGTTAATTGAACCAATCAGCTTTCTACTGAGTTTTATGCTCCACATTAATCAGGGAATTATCAAAATTTCACTGAACAAAAGAAAATTTAGAAAATGAAATAAAATTGAGATCAACATTTAAATCATATCGTAAAGTTTGCAAGTACTTTTTTGCGTAGAAGTTAATTAATAAATAAAGTATTTGTTAAATCCTTATTACTTAATATAATTAAATATTGATAAGCAACAACAACAAAATCGAAACCCGATATTAGCATGTTTCTTTCGATATTACGATAATATTGAATCCTTCGTTTCTATAGGATGTTGGGTGTTATTGAAGTAAAATTATCGCAACATTCCTATTTCTGCGTCTAGATCTAAGAATTACGTTGCTCAGTGTCAGCAGATGAACTTAATTTATTTTCCTGTCAGTGTCTGTACTGAACTTTCACGGAGAGGGGATTACTACTGACAATCTCCAAAAGAGTAAAATTTCTACTTTACAAACACAGAAACTCACAAAGTGATCAATAATAATTCAACTTGAAATTTTCACAATATCTTTTTTATCAATATTGTTTTGCTTAGCATCTATTGAACATTAAATATAATATTGACAATTAGTTTAAGCTTTTAACTAATATTTTAAATTTTTCAAAAATGACCATTCAAATAAATACCTTGTATGCTTTCCATTCTTCATCAGTAGTTGAGGCGTAGCAGAATGCTACTACAAACAAGATGAGAACAATCTTCATTACTCTACAAAACATGAAAAGTAGTTATTAAAATTCATATATTAAAAAATAATTATGTGAGTTATATTTGAACTGTAATATTTGTATATTGGTAATATTGGTCCTGTCTACGTTTGTTTATAGCACAACCTTGATGAAGGCCTGAACTTCGGGCCGAAACGTCGATGAATGTGAAAATAAATACTAATTATTCATTTTTACTGTTTTATTTTGACAGATCACCCCAACAATCCTTCTCTTCTATAATATTTACTTGTCGAATTTAATAATAATTGAATTTTTTTCTTAATGTGTATCAATAAAGTGTAATTAATTAAGATGGAATGTAATAAACGTCTGTGAGTCGGTTATATTTGTAAACTCTTTAGAGGAGAAATAAAAAAAATAAAAAATTAATGATAGATAGATAGCATATAAAAAATGACATATATTAAAATAAAAAATAAAAAAGAAAGAACAATAAAATAAAAATTATATTTATTTTTATAATTTATTTAATAGCCTATGGATTTTAAGAAATTTTATCATTTTTTTTATGTTTGATTCGTTGTTGCTTAATACTGCTGATATGTTCGGTTTTAGAGATAATTGATTTAGGCTTGAAGTATAATAAGTGCATTCTTGGAAAATATGTGAGGGGGCTATTGCAGTGCTGGCTGGCAATTTGGTGTTGGCTGCTTAGTGATGAGATGTACATGAGTTAGGTTCGTGTTTCCTATTCTTAACCTGGTCACAGCGATGTAATTAATGTTTATTTTTTTCTTAGCTTCTAAGGATAGAGGATTGATATTAAAACAATTGGCAGGATAGAATAAATTTTCGGTTTATTGCAAAACGTCATTAAGTGATATTTCATTAGCTTGACTAATTAAGAACTTTGAAAAATTGTTTCTTTATTAAATCAGAAAATTGTGCGCTTATTGCAACTATATTTAATATATAAAAATGCGTTTGTTTCATTTTCATGCCCTGACTGTGGTTTTGTATTGATAAATGAAGTCGAAATATATATAAAACATTTTTTAAAGTCACCTAGATCAAAAATGCACTTAGTAATTTTTTAAAATAAACTGACGAAATATTGTTATTTAGATTAACTTAAATATTTTTTTAATCTTATCCAGTAAATGTAATTATTGTATTGTTTTTGGAGATAACTACGCCGTGTTAAATTGGTATGTTATGCCACCTTATAATTTTTACTTTCACTTCTCTACATCTACTCTAAAGGTTTCCACTTATGTGAGTTATGTGATGCATCCAACACACCAGTTTTTTAAATGATTTTTATTAAATATGTTCAATTTTCTAAATTTATTTCTTATTATTTACTATACTTATTCACCTCAGTTTATATTTCATTAGCCAACTGTACACCAATAATCCTTTCACTTCCAATTCCTACCTTGGAATGACAACGTTTTGGCTGATCGAGCAATTTTCAAGTCTTAAAAATAATTGTTCATATTTACGATATTTTTGTTACATTTTTCTTTCATAATTATTTGTAGAATCATTTATATAATTAAAAACACTAGTATATATTGAGTTGCAAAATTTATATTTACCTATCATGTCCTAGTTTAGTGCATTTCTTATGTTAACATATGTGTATTCATATAACAACTAGCTGTCATAATCGTCTTATCTATTTTCATCTATTATTTCAATTCATTGATATAAAACTTATTATATTAAGAGATTTATAAAAATGTTGAAATACCATTTAGTTGTCAGCATAATTAACTGAATTTTCAAGTTTTTGTAACGTGTATCGATTTCATTATTTGTATACGTTTATTTTTATTATTTTCATTATGAAGAACTTTAGTGTTTTTAAAATGGAATTCATGTTTTATTTGCATAATATGTTAAAGTAGCTAATTTAGTTTTGTAGTTTTTGAATTTACAGTTTTGTTGATTTTCTTAAATTCTTTTTTCCAAACCATGTCTGTCCATAATATGATTTATTGTTACAATTTTTATATTTTATTTTATAAATTATATATGCTAATTTATCTTTAGTTTATATCTATACATAAAAATAAATAAATAAAAGAATAAAAATATGTCTAACTTTACGTTTAGTTTTCGAATAAATTTTATATATTTATTAATTGGCTTGCTTGAAAATTTAATTTCATTCACATCATATTGCTTAAGTGTTTTTTTAATTTTATCAATTAAATTTTTAATATATGTGATGCTAAAATATTTTTTAGCGTTTTATTTGTTTTCCATATAATTTCCATTCTGCGTCATTATGTCCTGTTGATCGTCAATGTAAGTTTTCTGTTGTATAGAATTTTCGATTTTAAAATAATTTGTTATTCAATTCGGTTCTTTATTACATTTATTATTTTGGTTTTAATGTCATTATTACCAATAGCATCGTTCATTAATTAAACATATTTAATTTACTTCTTACATTGATTAAATTATACACTTCATATTATTTCATCACTGATCCTTCTTTCAAAAAGATAATTGGAAGGAACATTATTGGATATCGAAAGACTCACCTTTATGCAGATTAAGCACCCACCGTCTATGATCTGTAGCGGTCGGGAATAACTGATGTGGCTCTTAAAATTACAGTATATATAGCCAGGTTTTTCATGACTTCTCCAAGGCTATATTAATGAATCTTTATTGCTAATTCGTCAAACCGTTTAAGGAATAAAAACGCCAAATTTACTTTACTGATTATATAATCAGTTATCGGGAGTGGATACAATCGGGTATAGCATTATAAATTCTAGGCATTATAAACTATGGCTAAATACAAGCTACAAAGCATAAAATTAGCCAGCGTGACGATTTGACAAGACTTTCTATAAAATGCCTACCGCGTTATTGTCATGTAAGATTCGTGTTATGAAGTACAGCAAAACGGACATGAGAATACAACAAAACGTTTGCCAAGTAAGGAAAGAACAGCTTCCTCACCGACATTTTCCATCAGTTAAAACAAAAATAATTCAAGAAGAAATTTATGAATGTGAATGAAGTTAACATAATACAGGAAATGAGGCTTATCGGTGCTTAAATAGTACCCTTCAATTATAACTAGTTAAATAAAAGATTTGGAATAAAACCCCTTACAACATTAAAGTTGGAGAGGGAAATCGGAAGACTAGACCTTCAAAAGGAACAAACAAACTCACAAATATGACGTTATTTTTACAGTCTGTGCAAAATTTAATTTAACTTTACAAATATACGGTACATGTAGCAAAGGAAAGTCGCATGCCTAAGAGAAAGCTGGTGATGGGATTCGGCAAAATCTATATTGGGCCATCTAAGTTTCAACCCCCACAATCACTGTTTATCATTCATTACATCAAAATTACATGATTTTTTTTTGTAACGGCCGTAGGGATCATGCTAGTAACACGTAAACGACAAAACATTCATTTTAAATTAACTTTTTTTAATACAGTCTAAAATGTTTTTTTTTTCTATTGGGATTACAGATAGTATTGCCCGAACGAGAGACCGAGACGAGTCTTGGTCTTGCGCAAGAGTCTCGCAACAGTCTTGTAGTTACTTATTAGCTTATTGCTATAGAGATATTACTGTAATTTTTTAGATAGAAGAAACCTAAGCTCGAAAAATTAGAGGAGTTAAATGCAAAAGTATATTGGTTATGCCAATTATTAACATGTAGTAACTAAGTTGTCAAGTATTAGTAACTATTTTACCTTAATTTTTATTTAAAAAATCGATTTTTTTTACCAGTCCTGGTCTTGGTATTGTATCAGTAATTTCTTTCCATTTATCTGCACGTAGCTCTGTTTCATCTTTGTTGATTCTATCTATCTATCTACTTTTTGGACTTCCACGTGGTCTTTTGCCTTCTATTGGGGCATTCATTGTTACGTAGAGTTTTTCAGATGGATTGCTACGAGCTACATGCGTTCTTATAAACATTAGATAAGGTTGTTGTTATTCTCAATTTAAATTTAGCAAGATGGCCGCAAGTGCAGTTGAAGATTCACGTCGCTCTGTATTTGTTACTATGTAATGTGGTTACTATTTAAAATTCTGGTGTAAGACTATATCAACAGTGACTATATAAACAGTGGTACATTTTATGTCACATATGTTCAGGTTAGTAACTATTGATTAACAATGAAGCAGTAATAAATTAGTGCTCGTTCGGCAAGCCCAAGTGGCCCGTAATCCCTTACGGGTTTACCTTATCTGTAATAAGTTACGGTCAAGACTCGGCTCTGTGTATACTAACATTCTTCGGCTTTGTTCACAGTTCGAATCCAAGACATTTAGGTTTTTTTTTTCTTTTTTTTTTTTTTTCTCTTTATATTTTTAATATTTTTCAGGAGACTTTTATTTTATTTACTCATTAATTAATTCTGAAATGAATTATTTTATATTATATCTGTATATAGTTTGTAAATAGTTTAGTTCTTAAGAAACTATCTTATAATTTTCATTTTAATATTTAGGTTTAAAAAACATTTTTTTTTCTCTCTTTCTCTCACACTCATTTATCCATCATGGATAAATCCATGGATTTGGATAAGAACACTTCTTGTGAAGACTCGGAGAACGAGACACCCTTTTCAGAAATTAGCGAGACTGACTCGCAATACTTGAAAAGACGTACGCTCCAAAAGCGTGTCCGAAACTCCGCTCCCGGTTCGGGAAGCAACTCACCAAATAAGAAAAAAACAAAAAATAAATCAAACAAATCAAATAAGCCAGCAGAACAAGAAAAATCTCCACCTAAAACGAGGAGTAAATCTAATTCCACACAATCAGAGCCAACTGCACCAAGCATCTCAGCCAGCAAGAATACTATTCTCGATAACAATTTATCAAGCAAGATTCCGAAGCCTCAAGATTTTTCTGACCCCGAACCGCCACCTGTTTTTGTTTCATAAATTGAGAACTTCGTGTCGTTTGGTCAAGAAATTGCAAAACTAATCGGACAGCCAAATTTTCGCTGCTTCTCTCGAATCAATGACATTAAAATA